ACAACTAGGATGTCCTTCAATAGGTGAGTGAATACACTGTGGTACATTCAGATGATAGATTACTCAGCACTAAAAAGAAAAGAGCGAGCCCATGAAAAGACATAGAGGAAGGCTGGGCACGATGGCTCATACCTGTAATCCCAGCACTCTGGGAGGCTGAGCTGAGAGGATTGCCTGAATTCTCGGGTTCGAGACCAGCCTGAGCAACTTGGTGAGACCTCATTTCTACAATAAATCAAAAAATTAGCTGGGCATGGTAGCATGTGCCTGTAGTTCCAGCTACTTGGACGGCAGAGGCAGAAGGATCGCCTGAGTCCAGCAGGTCGAGGATGCAGTGGCCAGGAGCATGAGACTCCAACTCAAAAAAAAAAAAAAGACAAGACATAGAAGAGACTTGAAATGAATGAGGAAACTTAAATGTATATATTGCTAAGTAAGTGAGACCAACCTGAAAAGCCTACATACCAAAGGACTCCAACAATATTACATTCTGGAAAATGCAAAACTATGAAGACAGGAACACAATGAACAATTAGTAAGGATGGGGAAAGGGAGGTATGAGCAGGCAGAACACCAGGGACTTTACGGCAGTGAAAACAGAGGCATGTCATCATACATCTGTCCAAACCCATAGAGTGCACAACACTGAAAATAAACCCAAACATGAATTATAGACCTTGGGTGATATGTTGATGTAAGTTCATCAGTTGTAACACATGTACCAATTGTGGTTGGAAATGCTGTTAGTGGGAGTGGCTGTGAGGGGTACAGTGGGTGCAAAGAGTATGCTGGAACGCTGTACTCCCTGCTCAATTTTGGCATGAAGCTAAAACAGTTCTAAAACATAAAGTATTTTTTAGGCTTATTAATTTTTAAAAATACATAAAACTGGTAAAAATCTAATATAATTCTGTAGTTTATAGTAGTACACCAAAGTTAATGTCTGTTTCGATAATAAATTATGGTTAAGTGTTATCAATGGGGAATGATCACTAGGTGATGGGTACACAGGAACTCGAATATTTTTACAACTTTTTGTGAGTTTAAAATTATTTCAAAGAAATTTGTTAAAAAAGAGGTAAGTTTGTTAGGAAAGTTATTATTTACCAGGATTTGTACACACTTTAGTGTTGTAACTTATCTAGTATCTTTTCTGGAAGTAATAAGATGTATACCTCTATTTTAAAAACACTTTGTGACCAGGAGCGGTGGCTCAGCCTGTAATCCCAGCATTTTGGGAGGCTGAGGTGAGAGGACTGCCTGAGTCCAGGGGTTCGAAACTAGCCTGGGTAACATGGTGAGACTTCGTCTCTACACTAAATCACAAAAACTAGCTGGGCGTCGTGGCATGTATGTACTTGGAAGGCTAAGGCAGAAGGATCACCTGAGCCCAGCAGGTCGAGGCTGCAGTGGCCATGAGCATGCCACTGCACTCCAGCCTGGGAAACAGAGTGAGACTCTGACTCAAAAAAAAAAACAAACACTTTGTGACTCAATGTCTTTAAAATATGAAAGACCTAATTTCTAGGTAGCTCGGCATATGATGCTCTAAGTTTCAGGCACAGCAGAAGGAAAATTTCTGAATGAGAAATAAGTCTTGTACTATTAATTATCTCCTTAGAAAAGCAAACTATAAAAAGCAGTACATAAACTCTAATGAGAGATAGGATATGAGAAACAGATCCAAGGGATAAAGCAGGCTCAGGCTACCACAAGACTCACTTCTGTTGTGCTCAACACAGATACTTTTATTTTGAATCAAAATAAATAAATCATAAATTTTTATTAACTTGCTTTTAATCTACACATTTTAAAAGTCATAAACATTTTAAAAGTTAATTAACGTTGCAATTTTAAGTTTCTACTTAAAATAGAATCAATGTAACATACAGGTCATTTTCACCTTTTATATTCAGATCGTTCTTCAAAAGTAGAATTTTCATTCTAAAAAGATGTGTCATTTCAGTGAATATAGAACCATTGTAGTTCAAGAGAATTAAACTCCAATATTTAATTAAGTAGACAAATTCATTTATACCAAATAAAAACAAACCAAAAAACCTGGCATATCATGAGACAGTTTAAATACCTATGGTAATTGTAGATTTATCTTTTCAAAGATAAGTGCATCTGGACTGGTTAATCCACTAAATTATCATCTTTGAATATGAAAACAAAAACAAAAAATGATATTTTAGAAAGGAAAATGGTAGAATGGAGATTTATTCACCTTGATAAAAAGCATAAAACAAAAACCTACAGTTAACATTGTATTAAAGGTAAGAAAGGAAAATGATAGTTTCAAAGTACAAGTGACTTTTCTTTTTTAAAGAAACAAAATTTTTCACCAGGCACAGTGGCTCATGCCTCTAATCCCAGTACTTTGGGAGACGGGCAAGAGGATTGCCTGAGCCCAGCAGTTTGAGACCAGCCTGGATAAACCTCCTCTCTACAAAAAATAAAAAAAAATTAGTCAGGTATGGTAGTGCAGAAGGCTGAGGTGGAAGGATCGCCTGAGCCAGCAGGTCAAGGCTGCAGTAGCCGTGATTGTGCCACTGCACTCCAGCCTGGGTAACAGAGTGAGACTCCAACTAAAAAAAAAAAAAAAAAATTCTAAAACGTAAAATAGATTAAATACAAAGAAAAAAACACTGCACACCTTAACTAAACAAATTATAAAGAAAATATCTAATTATATATAGACCAAAGATGCATCCAAGCACACTTTTATACTTACATAGTTTAGAGACAAGCAACCAAGTAAGTGTGCCTTATTTATTAATGAAATCCCTTGTCTTTATCAATGTTATTTTCTATTCAACAAAAAATGATAATGCTTTCATGATACATTACATATTAAAGCAAGATCATTTTTATCAGTAATGTCTCTGAAAAGGGGAAAAAAATATAGGGCAAAATCCACAAAGCAATGCAAATTATGAAATGAAGAGTAATCACAATGTTCTCAAACTAGAGACTTTACAACAGCAGGCAGGTGCAACAGCAGGCTGCCTACTTAATGTGTACAGCAGGGAAAGCAGAGTGAGGCAGAAAATAAGAGGAGGGACTACAAAAGCTGAACTGCCAAGAAGATAGCCACTAGCTTTAGTTTCTCTTTCGACTTTACATCAAACATGAAGGTAAAGAAAAACAGCTCCTTCCAGGTGCAGCAACAAGAATAAAATGGAAAATCTTATCCCTTATCATGTTCCTATAAAAATGGGAAGAAATTTACGTAAAATATACCTCCACCTCAAATGATTTAAGGACATTCATAGTTGAAATAAATCTTTTAATTGTAAGAATGCTTTTTCATTTTAAAAAGAATGGTCTGAGAAGGGAGACAGCAGGTAGCCATTTTAAGCTCCACGTAAAGTGATTCTTTATACTCATGTAAAAACTTTCAGCTTAAAACAAACAAAGGAATGCTTCTACACTGCTGGTGGGAATGCAAACTAGTGCAACCTCTTTGGAAGACAGTGTGGCGATTTCTGAAAAAACTAAAAATTGACCTTCCATATGATCCAGGAATTCCCCTATTGGGAATATACCTGGAGGAACTCAAATCATTCTATAAAAAAGATACCTGCACGTGTATCTTTGTTGCAGCTCTATTCACAATAGCAAAAACATGGAACCAACCATGTTGCCCATCGAAGCTGGACTGGATTAAAAAAATGTGGTATATATACACAATGGAATATTATCAGCCATAAAGAAGGACAAACATATGGACTTCGCAGCAACTTGGATGGATTTAGAGTCGATCATACTCAGTGATCTATCACAGAAACAAAGAACAGAGTACCATATGTTTTCACTCATAAGCAGACCTTGAACAATTATTATAATACTATAAGAAAGGGACTGGCAGTAGTGGGAAACTGTCAGGGGAGGGGGGGTGAGATTGGCAGTTGAGGGAAACTGCTAGAGGAGGGAGGGGCATACCTCATCAACAAGGGTACCTGCATAATCAATGTTTGTATACC